TTTAACAAAATTTATATTACCGTTAAAGGCAAATTGATCATATTTAATGATACTATTTATGAGATTACGATGTGGGAGCTTTTTGCATACATATAAGTATCAGGGAATTTTTCTTTCTTTCAAGTTCTTTTTTTTTTTTAACAGATACTAATTTTTTTTTTTTCCTAATAGATTTGGGCTTTTCTGAGATACGAAATTAATGTCAGGTAAAAAGATCTAGACTTGGATGAGAGTAAGAACTGACATATAAGTATCGGAATTTTTTTCTTTAGGTTCGTTTTTTTATTTTAATAACAAGTAATAATCTTTCCTTGTAGGTTCCGGTTTTGAGGCATGAAATTGAAGGCTGGTCTTTTGGTGAATACTGGTAGTTTGCATTTTTATATTTTTGATACTTGTAACAGATTTTAGCATTGAATTGGAGAAGCCCGTGGTGTTTAAGATTGGCTAGGGTTAGAAGTTTTGTGCTTTGACATAAAATCATTTTTTTGGTGGGTTTTTGCGGATGGAATTATTAAATAACTATTCTTCTTATGCAATGTTTGGTTTAAAGTTACCGTATTGTCGCGGAATAACGCGCAGGGGTGAAATTATGAATTTCGGCCAAACCTCGAAATAACGCTCATGAGCGTTATTCCGCGAAAATACGGTGGTTTGTATTTTTTTTTTTGCTAACTACGAGTTGTATTAATAAAATAAATAAATGCAGTTCGATTAGAGTTAGTAAAATCGTAATTATAAACAGTGTTGCTGGCAAGCTCGACAATCCCGTGACGACACGAGATACAGGAAACGTGACCGAGATCTAAAAAAAAAAAATCGTAGGATCCACCTCCGTAAAGATATGAAACAAGCCAAGCCTTGAACAGCCCCAAGAAGATAAGAGATCTGAATCAAATCGCCAAGACATCGCGATAAGGTCTTGTCATGATGTCCCGAGACCACAGTAGAAATATGAGGCGTAATTAGTAAATCTATAGCAAGCCCATCTTGCCATAAATAAAGAATCAAACAATTCTGAAAAAGGCGATGGCGTAGTTTTACTGCTGGGTACAAACAAATAGTAGTAAGGACAAATCAGGCAAATTATATGGTCGTGTTAGTTAGGTAATACCCTTTTTGGTACGTACGGTACAATTTTGAGTATTGGGTACGACAGTACAGTATATTACATATACCTAGTAATTTTTATGTACCTAGTAGGTACGCAATATAATATACGTATATTAATTTAAGAACTGTACCTAATAAAATTATTTATTATCTAGGTACGGTACGATTAATATTGTAAATATATACTAGATTTATAATTTGTGTACCTTATAAAAATATTATTCTTTTGGGTACTACAGTTAATAGTTAGAATATGTATTGTTTATTTTTTGTTTTAGAGTATAATTTAGAATATATAAAAAGTATATATTAATATTAAGATTACAGTATATAATATACAATTAGTACTATTTTTTATATTTAATTTAATATTATCTATCTCTATATTATCCCTTAATTCGTATTCGGGGCAAATTTGCCCCAAATTTCAGATTCCCGGCAGATATCTCACACTACCATTAAAATTTACTAAATGTACCCCATGTTTGTGGCACAATGCACACAAACATAACCGCTATATTGATGTATCTTTGCCGCAAACAAAAAATAATAAGGTTCAATAAACTTCTAAAATGTTCTTTGAATGTAAAAGATCGATGCTTTTAATTTTTTTTTAAAAAAAACAGCTTATACTATGGCCAATAGTGATAGTAGCACTAATATTTATCAAAAACTTTTTAAAAGTAATATTCTTCAGAAATTACAAAAATGGAGTAATGATATCATGGTAAAATATCCAGATAAGATTTTTGACTCTGAAGATTTTACTTTAGTTCATGAAAGTGTATTAGTATCACTTATTGAAAGGGATAATCAAAATACTATTGCTGCTGAAGAACTAAACTTTGATCAGGATAAGCTTAATGAAACATTAAATAATGATAGAGATAGATTAAATCTTGAACAAAAAATAATATATGATACTATTGTTGAACTTTATGGAAATTTGATAAACATTTATTTTTTAATAACACTTCTAATGATGAGTACAATTATGCTGCTGATGATTCTTCTGATTTGCAATAATTTACTTTAGACACTATTCTTGTTAATAGTATTATTCTTTATCACAAAGTTACAAATACAAAGATTGCAAGCAAAGACTTCCAAATTGCTCTTGTAAAGGATTTAATTCAAGAAGCTATAGATAATGAGAGTAGTAGCAATAGAATAACTTGGGGTCAATTAAAACAAAAAAAAAGCTTCATTAAAATCACCACTAAAAAATAATGAAATTGCATATGTTACTAAAAAGTTTAACTTACCTATAAATCAACTTTTTTTAGAGAATTATCTAGTAAAATGGTGTAGAAAAGAGAATCATGTCTATATTATTGTTATTTAAAAAAAAAATGACAAAGGTAAAAAAAAAATATACAATTTCACAGAATCAATTTTGGTGTATTAAAAGTAATATACCTCTTTGTTGCTCTATAGTAAGATCTAATTGTTTTAAAGATTTTCATAGTAAACAATAAAAAAATTTATTAAATATATATTTTTTATATTTTTTACTGATTTTGGAATTGATTTATAATATATTAATTTTTTTTTTTGATATTAAAAGGTGAGGCCTTGCTCATATCTTTATTGAGTAATTTATATAAGTAATCATAAAGAAACAAGACTGAATGAAGACTTAA